GAAAACAATACCAATGCTGTAAGGGATGGAGTCAAGTGGGAAATCAGTGTACCAAAGGTAAATAGCCTAATGCTAGGGTAGTCACTAGAATATCCTACAGAAAACAATACCAATGCTGTAAGGGATGGAATGAAGGGAGAGAGTATGCTTGTTCATTCCACGAAAAGAAAAATCCTCATAGATTCGTTTCTGTTTTCAGCTATTTGTACTCAACCTTGTGTGAATGGCACGTGCACCAAACCAGACTACTGCTCTTGTAACTCAGGTTACAATGGAAAATTCTGCGAAAGAGGTATGTAACGACACTACTAACATCTTTGTAATCTTTCTCAATATGGTTCGTGCTAATTTTCTGTTCTTCCTTCATCAGACTGTCCTTCACATAAATGGGGACCACACTGCAGACATTACTGTCTCTGTCAAAATAACGCTAAATGCTCTCCTCACTATGGTGTCTGTACGTGTACCCCAGGGTGGGAGGGACAATACTGTAACAAGACATGTGACCATGGTTACTATGGCAAAAGCTGCCAGAACAACTGTACTTGTCCTAATGGAGGCACATGTGATCCTGTCAGTGGATACTGCGCATGCGCAGCTGGATATCGTGGACAGCGGTAATCCAACTTGATTTCTTTTGCATATGAGGTTTGGTTTTGATGCTAAATCTATTCCTGTTCTTTTTCAGCTGTGAATTACAATGTTCTCGTGGTTGGTATGGACATTATTGTGCAGTGAAGTGCGCATGTCTGAACGGAGCTTCGTGTGATCACGTGAACGGCACGTGTAACTGTACGGCAGGATGGACGGTAAGTAGTGACTGTGGAGGTGTTAGTATTAAATTGGAGATCTAGTGTTGTCTTTGAATGCATGCTTAGTTTTCCAAACGCATGCCACATGGAAAGGAGTGCCTATCTGTGCTCACTGATCAGCGACACCGTGACATTCCGGGGTTTACTGCTCCTAGCAAGACGTCTTAAAGGTTATTAAAACATCGACGATCCAGGGGCTGATTAAGCTTTAAGTCTCCCTGTTTCTGCCAAGCTTCCTGATCAGTTTGCAGTTCTTCCCGTGATAGCGGTGTCGGGGTCGTAATCTCCTAGTCGTAAATGATTCGCGCTACCATACGAAGCTTTAGCATTAGATGTCTAGAAGTATGGCCACCCGTTATTTGTAATTGACCAATCAAACAACAATAATATCAAAAGAACCCTTCCGTTTGCTGGTCAGACGCTCTACCAAACTGAGCTACTGGAACTCATGCTGGTAAGCGATGAGGTCTGGATGGTATTTTTAAAAGCCTGATCATATTTTTCTCTATTTTATTTCCAGGGAGACATTTGTAACCAAAAATGTCCCAAAGAAACGTATGGATACCGCTGTACACAAACATGTATAAACTGTGAGCATGGTGCAATCTGTGATCACGTGACTGGTGTGTGTGACTGCAGGCCTGGTTACAGAGGAAAGAGGTTTGGAAATGATGTGTTGGTATAGGAATATGAATTACTATAGCTATAATCTTCCGCATGCTATTCGCTAAGGTTTTGATTGATTTGATTTTTGTTGAGTTCGAGAGGGGTGGGTTTCCAGTGGTGAAAACGAGGAAGGCTTAAGCGAGCGGGTACTAGTCCCGCTCGGTCAACCCTCAGCCGACACAGGAAGCCCAGTATAAGAAGAGAAAGAGGAGGAGGCTACTACTTACCCTACTGAAGGACATGAGGATGTTTGACAGCAACTTAAGTACAAACCTCATAGAAAGAGGGTGGTGTATATTTCGCTTAATAAAATTCTTAGTTCGCATAGTTTGCGTTCGGGCAACGTTAGTTGCCTATGCACAGTGTCAATTTCTATTCCGAGAAAAGTCAGGTTTTGACAAGGGCTAACAGCCTTGACCCAGTTTATTTGTAGTCCAAGTTCTCCTAGCAAAGTTATGAGTCCCTGATATGCTGTCTGACATTCATATTCAGTGTCGCTTATTATTAGAAAGTCATCAAGATAGGCAAGTACATTGTAACATCCCCTGTTTTTCATCATTCGCGTTATTGCTTGAGTGAGCCTATAGAAGACTTCAGGGCTCTTTGCTGCTCCAAACGGCAGTTTGCAGTCGTAAAGATATGTTAGATGATCGTCACCATGAAAACGCCATGCTAATCCTGTCGCGTTGTAGTTCGATGGATGGATAGGCACGTGGCGATAAGCACTTTTGAGGTCAATCTTAGCGAGATAAGCATTAGATTTGATGAGCGACACTGCTTTGTCAATGGTCACGTATGAGAAATGTTGTGAGTCACTGTATGTATTTACCCCGCCGTCTACGGGTCTACTGCAGTCATGTATTAAACGTAGTTTGTCACTGTCAGGCTTAGGTACTGCCCCTAAGGCACTCACAATTGTAGGTTTTGTTTTTGTGATAATGTAGTTTCCTAGTCGTATCTCGTCTCGAATCGTTTGTTCAACTTTGTCGCGTACGTCATGTGCGGTCGCGGATTTGTAGTTCGTGACCTCTGCCGGTCGTAGTATGCTGTCCTGTGCTACGATTCGGAAACCGTTAGAAATACCGTCAAGTAAGAAGTCTTGGTCACAGTCGTTTGTCAGGTTTTCTTTCCATGCTTCTACGTTTAGAGGACACGGGTGTAGTTCTGTCGTGTCGAGTCATGCGTTATGTTTCTGTGACGGATGTTGGTGTTGCGGATGAGGTTGATTGCAGTTAGCCACGAGACAAGTGTGTTGAAAGCGGCAATTAGGCCAATGACACCCCGACAGGGAGTTAAATTGGCGGCAAACAGGTTGCGGTTGGCTATTAATAGTTGGGCGTGAAATAGAGGCTGTGTGTTTTGTTAGATTAGAAGTATTAGGGTGATTAACAGCGCGTCGCTTTATTAAAAAACGAGTATGAAGATGTTGCGAATCGCTGCCCCATCGAAACCCATACATGTGCTGCAACTTGCGATACTCGTTATCATAAAGCAAAACAGAGGCAAGTGTGTGTGATTCGAGCAGTTCCGCTATTTTAACATTATAGGCCAAGTAGTCCGAGATTTGACTTGTTCCCGTGAGCTTCCCTTTTTGGGCAAGTTCGTGCATTATTCTTGCGTTTGCTGTGACCCACATTGAGAGGGAAATACTTTCTAATTTAGGCTTGCCCAATTTCGCAGCGCGAAACACGATTTTAGCGCCAAACGGTCCACCGAGGTCCTGCTCTTCCTCGCCTGAGTCATACGATGTATTTGACACAAAGTCAGGAATTAACAAAGGCTTCTCACCTCCTTTCTTTTGCTGTTGGCCAAGGAAGACCTGTGGGTTGTTATCCACACGTTGAATAGGATCGTTGCTTTGCAGGCTTTGTTCTGTTACTCCCAGCGTAAAAAGAGGGTCGTCTAGTGTTCCAACACCTTCGATTTTCTTGAGGAGTTCCTCAAGACCGCCGTCCTGCGCCAATGATTTTGTTGTCACTGGTTTCTCCTCGTTCTTTACGGCACTTATTRTAGGTGTTAGGTCATTGATGGCCTTCGTGATGAGTTTAGCTTGTCCCATCGTCAGCTTTAACGCTTTTATATCATCTGTAGCTAGGAGCTTTAAAGCCTCCTCGTTGTCTAAGTCGTTCTTTTCTAATTGCGCCACAGTGGCCTCTTTGAGACCTGACTTCTCGGCCCAGGATGCGAAATCGAAAGACATTATTTAAAAAAAAAAAAAAAAAAAAATTTCTAAGCTGATTTCTTGAACGCTAGCTTGCTGACAACATGAACAACTGGCTGCCAACTATGAAGCCCTTGCTTTCTATGCTCATCGCACATCCTGCCTCGCCTAGTTATTTAATCATGATAAACACATGTCTATCACTCACGTAAATATATATTAAGTATAACCCCCAATAAAAGATTATTATTATCATCATCGAATCAGTACACCACCATAACCATCATCATCATCATCATCGTAGTAGTAGCAGCAGCAGCAGCAGTAGTAGCAGTAGCAGTAGCAGTAGCAGTAGCAGTAGCAGTAGCAGTAGCAGTAGCAGTAGCAGTAGCAGTAGCAGTAGCAGTAGTAGTAGTGTGGTGTTTTTCTTATGTTATATTTTTTAACCAGGTGTGAAAATGTTTGTCAAGAAGGAACATTTGGTCAAGGATGTCAAGGAATCTGCGCATGTCACAGCAATGCCACATGCTCTCTTGTTAATGGCTCGTGTATCTGCACCTCTGAATATACTGGCAAGCATTGCGAGGATCATATTGGTAAAAAAAATTTTGACACTTGGACCTTAGAGTTATTACCATCTAGTTCAGTAATTACTGCATGTTTGACACGTGCGCTATCTTAAAATACATCGACTGACAGACTGATTAACCGTCTTAAGCTTCCCATTTCTGACAGAATGACGAATATATGCGACCACCGAACTAACCAAGCAATCACTGACTGACTTAGACCGACTATAATGAAGTAGCCCGCGACTACAGTATTATCTAGTATTCCATTCTGGAACAAACTCAACACTGTCAAACAAACATGGCTGCTCTCGAGTCCCGCGCTTTGAGTGACATGACTCGCACCCAGGTTACTACACCGACCGAAGCCGACCGAACTAACGAAGGAAAAAACGACCGAACGAATGACCATCTAGCTAATCATTGACACTTCATTAAGCGACTATACACCCGGTATCGGCCACTAACTGACGGACTGGGCGTTCGATTAATAGCTGACTGCCATTCCCTGACCCTCTGACCGGCTAACCAAACGCTCACTTACTTTACTGTCAACGACCAATATCTAACACATTTAATTAAAAACCGCTTATCTACTGGCTTAGATATGCCTGGCTTACCGACCGACCGACCGACCAACCGACCGACTCAGACGGATCCAGAGTGGTCGATTGGGTAGCGTTTTAGAAGGGTACCAACTGGGTTAGAAGTTAAGGTATTAGGATACGTTTACGACCACTATGCGCGCAAACTTAAATAACGCGCTTGCTTTAAGTATAACACAAACAAAGTATACATTTTCTGAAAGCTGAATAAACATAGTTTATAAAGCAATCTTCAAAATACGATTTTTTAAATTGTTGTTCACGTTATTGTCCTCGAAGCGAAATTTGACCATACCTCAGTAAAAACGTTAACGGACACGTACATTTTAAGCTATGTTTGCGAAAAATG